AAAAAAAAAAAAAAACAACAACAAAGAAAACAACGAGAAACGCCACGAGTGGCGTAGCGAGAAGGAAAAGAAAAAAAGAAGAATCGAGATTAGAAAAAGAATTACACACAGACACACCCACAAACAGATAGAGAGAGAGAAGTACATTTCACATACGCACACAGGTGAGGCGAAATGCAGTTCCAGTACGCGGAGAGTGGCAATGTGGCGGCGCTGCGGACGTGGCTGCATCAGCACCCAGAGCGTGTCAATATCCCCAGCGCCGGCTCCCAGTACACGTTGCTGTACACCGCCGTGTGCAGCGGCCAGCTCGCGATGGTGCGGATGCTCATGGGCGAGTTCAAGGCAGACCCAGGCATCCCATGCGGGGGCATCGGCAACACGCCTGTGCACGCAGCCGCACTGGCTGGCGACGTTGATATGTTGTCGTACCTCCTCGCGTGTGGTGCGCCGCTGCGGCCCAACGCGTTCTCGGAGTACCCGATCGACATGGCGAAGATGCCGGCGCGTGGGAAGACGACGCAGCAGGAGTGCGTCAAGATGCTGCTCGCCTACGAACAGCGGCACCAGAAGAGGGAGGAGGAGGAGGAGGAGAAGGGAGCAATGGGGCAGGCGGCGGATGCCCCCCGGCGGCCGCCGCCGCCGTCGCCACCACTCGTCGCGCTGCGCAACGCGATTCATAACCTGCGCGTCGACAGCGATGAGGAGGAGGAGAAGGAGCGAGGCGGCGGGCAGCGGGAGTCGCCAATGCCACCATCGACACCCCCACTACAGCACTCTCTCGGTGGCGTCCCCATGGGCTCTGCTGAGAACGGCTGTCGGAGCAATGGCGCGGGGAATCGTCACACTGTCATGCCTCGGAACGAGTGCAATATCACGACGCAGTCTGTTCTGCCGTTGGATCTTCACACGTTCCGTCGCGTCTACGGCAATGGCTTCGAATTCGCGGAGAGCACACACACTTACAGCGTGCGTGGGCTGCTGCCCTACACGTTCAAAGGCGTTGTCTACTACACCCCGGTGATCCTCATCGTGAGAAAGCCGTTGGAGGCGAAACAACAGCAGCAGCCACCGCAACAGTATCAAAGCAGCAGTTGCAGAAGCGCTATCGCCAACGGCTCTCCACGATACCGTGCGCTCATTGACCGCAAGAGACTCAACAGCCTATTCATTAGCCGTCGCGCCACATACATAGATCCCTGCACAGCTGCCATTTTGCCGAGTGAGGTGGATGTGTATTATCGGAGCCTGCTGGAGTTCGTGCAGCACGTAGTTATCGCGAACTTTGAGCGTGTGCCTCCGCTGACACATATGGGGGATACGAATCGCGCGGTGGAGGAGAATGCTCCGCTCTTCCGGCTCTACCCGAACGAGCGTGAACTGCAGCTGCGCATCCTGCGGGAACTCTCCACCTTCTGTGACAACGCCTTCACGTACAATAGGGCATCGCGGGCGGTGTGTGGGTTTCTCCCGCTCTTTGGTACGTCCTCGCAGGCTGCAGCGGATGGCATGGGTGTTTCACGTGGCAGCAAGAACACCGCTGACGCCGCGGCGCGAGTCGGCTCCCAGGACGCTATCGTAGTAACAACGGAACTGCTCATGAAGCTGCCCCTGCGCTTGCAGTTCTCTGAGAAGGGCAATTTTAGGGAGCCGCCAGTTGTTTACTTCGTCAATGCGACGAACAAGACCCCTGAGGAGCGGCTCAACCACGCGTTTCTCTCAAAACTCATCGTTGACGGCGCCACCGGCGAGATGCACCGCGGCGCCCTCGCCGCACTTGACAGCTGGAAGGAGCACGGCTCGCTCCTCGAAGTTTTGTCGGAGCTGCAGAAGGTTGTGACGTCGCTGCTCCTGCAGTACTGCAGAGTAGCTGACTTAAAGCCACCGCTGATGCATAATGCTGCGTCTGGTGCTCTCATGCGAAGACCCCATTCCTGTCCTCCTCCTCACCCTGCCACTGCTGCACAAAGCGGGCAGTGGAGTGGCTCGCGGACCAGCACGACTGGGAGCGATTGTGACGCGGATTGGCTTCTCGTCGTGCACTCAGCGGCGGGAAGCGATGCCTCATCCAAAGGCGCATTTTCAGCGGCACCAAAGCCCAATTCAGATGAGAAGAACATTGGGGCTAAATGCGTCATTTGCCTAGAGGCAGAAAAAAATATCCTGCTGCTGCCCTGCCGTCACCTTGTGCTGTGTCGCGAGTGCAGTCTGCGCTACAAGGACCGCCTCGGGGATGGGATGCTGTGCCCCACCTGCCGCACGCCGATCACACAGCTCATTGAGATATATGTGTAGACGCTGATTGTGGATTCATGACTACTTCGGCTCTTTTTGGGTTTGCGCTTCGTTTTGGCTCTTGTGTCTTTCCCTTTGCCCCCCTTCTCTCTTTCTGTGTCTGTGTGTGTGTGTGTGTGTGTGACACCGTCGTCTATGAGCGGTGCGTAACTTGGAGTTTGTTTTTGTTTCATCTGTTATGCCGCTCCACTGCACGTCGCCTCGTTTTTTTTTGTTTTTTTTTTTTTTTTT